TCATTATTATTGTAATATTTGTTGTTATCATTCTTATAATCATCATCATCATCATTGTTATCTTTACTACCTTCATCATTATCATTATCATCATTGTTGTTATCCTTATCATTATCATTAACATTATTACCGTTCTTGTTTATGATTATCACCATCATTACTATTATCATCATTTTCATTATCATTATCATTACCATTGATATTGCTGTTATTATCATTGTTATTATAATTATTGCTTTTGTTATTTCATCGCCATTATTACTATGACTATTTTCATTATTACTATTGTTATGATGATGATTATTGTTATTATTATTATCATTGTTATCATCATTATGTTATCATCATCATTACTATTATCACCATCATCATTGTCATTTTTATTAGCATACTTATCAATTCTATTCTTATTATCATAATCATCATTACTGATATTAGCATCAATAGTATTATCTTCATTATTGTTATTATCTTTACAATTGCCATTATAGTTATTATCATTGTTATGATCATTATTATTATCGTTATTGTTATCATCATTGTTATGATTAAAATTGTTGTTGTTATTATCATCAGTATCACTATCATCATCATCATTATTATTATCATTTTTATCATAATCGTCACCACCAACATTGTTACTTTTATCTATATTTATTTCATTGTTACTGTTACTATTATCATAATCATTAGCATCAATACTACCATCATTTTTTTATTATTACCATTGATATTATTGTTAAATCATTTTTTTTATTATTTCCATTGATATTATTGTTAAATCATTTTTTTTATTATTACCATTGATATTATTGTTAAATCTTTTTTTTTATTATTACCATTGATATTATTGTTAAATCATTATCAAAATCATCATTATTAATACCATTGCAATAACAGCAGTAGTAGTAAGAGAAGTATAAGTAGCATTATTGTTAACATTATTACCAATATTTTTGCTATCGTTATCAGTATTACTATTACTGTGATCTTTGCAACAGGAACAACGAAGGGAAGGACAAGAAAACACACGAATATTCGTGTGTTTTCTTGCCCTTCCCTTCGTCGTTCCTGTTGCAATCTGTTCAACATGAATTCCACACTGTGATCTTTGTTATCACTGTAAATAGCATTACTGTTATAATTATTATCATTGTTGATATTATTATCATCACCATTGCTCTTCTAATTAGTATCAGCATTATATTATCATCATTTTTGATATTGTAATTTTCATCTTTGTTAGCATTGGTATTATCACCATTATCATTATTAACATTATCAACATTATTATTATCATTATTATCACCATGTTCATTATCCATATTATTAATCATTATCATTACTACTATCATTACTACTATCATTACTGTTGTCTTCATTATCATAAATATTATTATCATCATTGTTAATATAATAATTACTACTATCATTAATAACATTTTTGCTATTATAATGAGCATTATCATTAATATATCATTATCATTATTACAACCATAATGATATTATTGATACTACTATTATCATGGTTATCATCATTATCATTATATTATCATTATCATTAATACCATTCTCATTACCATTATTATCATCATTACAATCATCATTTTCACTCTTTGATGATAATTCTGAAAACAGTAATAATGATAACAATAATAATAATGACATCAATAATGACAATGATATTGATAACAATTATGATAACAATAATGATCATAAAGTTATAGTATTGATGATAATGATGCTGATGATAACAACATTAATCATAACAATAAAGAAATTCCGAACTGCTTCACTTTTTTTTCTTCTTCCTTCCACTCTCCCTCACCCCCTCTATTCACCCTCCACTTCCCCCCTCCTTCCCTCTCCCCCTTCCTCTCCCTCCCCTCCCCTCTGGCCTATCCTTCCCCCTCTCACTCCCGCCCCTTCTGCCCAATCCCTCCCCCACTGCCCTGTTATTCTCTCCCCCCCCCATCTGCCCTATCCGTCCCCCTTCCCCCCTTCTTCCCTATCCTTCCTCATCTCCCGTCCCCCTTCTGCCCTATCCTTTCCCTCTCCCCCCCTCCCTATCCTTGCCCCTCTCCCCCCTCCCCCCCCTTCTGCCTTATCCTTCCTCCTCTCCCCCCTCTTCCTATCCCTTCCCCTTCTCCCCCCCCCCCCTGCCTCTCCCCCCCCCCCCTTCTGCCTTATCCTCCCCATCTCTCCCTCTCTCCCCCCTCTGCCCCCCTCCCCCCAAGGCCAAAGGCGACACACACACTGCTTCGCCTTGAGTTCCGATCCCCCAGTGTCACGTGAAGCCCAGGGTCAGAGGCTGCAACAGCTGATGGAGGGAGGAGACTAGGAGGGGGGGCTAGGAGGGGGGGTAGCGGAAACGAGGTCAGCAGCGGGGACAGTCTCCGGATGCGTGGATGACGAGGGAGAAGAGAGAAGGACGAAGGGATAAAGAGAGATAGCAGAGATAGGGAGAAAAGAAAGAGAGAGAGGGAGAGATAATGAGAGT